ATTTATGCCTTATTTAAATAGAATTAGTTTAACGAGAACTTAGGTTTGCTGCAACGATGAGGGTAAAAAGTGTTTTTTGTTGTAAAATGTTAATACTGCAGTTTAGTAAGAAATTAATGTATTTTCCAAATTTGATCAAAATATGTTCATAAACAAGCAAACTACAACATTTGACTTATTCTCCATAAGAATAACATGGGAATTTTAAAATACAATTTTTTTGGAATTTTCTCCGTAACCATTAGGCACATAATAACGCTTCAATATACTAAATTATTTGTTTTTGTAAACTCTACAAAAGGGTTAGGAAAGAAATTGTAAAATTTTGTGATTTTAGGGCCAAACATGGGAAAACCCTATTTTACCCCATAAAACTCCCCATTACCCCCCGTTCCCATAGTCCGATCATGCTGCTTCACAAACTCGTTCGAATAAATGTAGGTTTACAGATTGGACCAAATTTCATCAAAATCGGATAATTTTTGCTCTAGTTATCGTGCTAACGGACACATATATAAATATGAATTTGAACGGATGGTGTTTTAGGCCTCTAGGGACCTCAAAACGAAAAATTAAATCGGTCCTTAGTCCAGGTCTTACCATGAGTACTACGGTAATAGCTTATTCCCTATATGGGAAATTCGCTAAAACCTCCCATGGACTTGCTTAAGTAAATAGATGCAGGTAGTTAATATACAATCGTACTCAAACTGTTAATGTAAAATCATTTGTTTATGTTAAAAACTCTACTTTTGACTGATATTATTTACTTTGTCATAGTTTGAATCTAGATTGAAACTAATTAAACATTCACTCAAAAGCATTTGAACAATCATACCATGTACAATACAGTGACTTTAAGGTCAATAACTTTTGAACATAATCAAACACTTTTCATTCATAAAGAATTGTTGTTCAAAGGTTTATTGCGGACATTTTCCATCACGATGGTAAAAAACAATACACAACGTTTCGGGATCTGGAATCTGATCCCGTCCTCAGGTGAAAAAAAAACTTAACTAACACATTACAACTAACAATACACAAACGCCCAACCTAATTTGGAAAACAGTACAGAAGGTAGCAGTCAAAAAATATGCACTGTATAACAGTCAAGTCATGATACAACATGCAAATAATAACCAATCACAAAACACTATAGGCTAAGCACACAATAAAGAAAGCATAAAGAATTGTTTGATGAAAGTTACAGTCGAAAAACAGACGTTCTACACATGTCACCAACAATACATACAGTAGAACCGCAATATTGTAGATTATTATTAGGAAGTCAACGTAGTATGTTAGCACATTTAAAATAACCCCATAACAAATCAACATAAAGTAAGCTGAGAATATTAATAATGGGTCTTATTAACTATATTACATCAAATCCATTATAATACAAGATATTATACAGCTGTTGGATATTAAAATTCTTTATGAATATTATGGTAGATTTGCTTGCCAAGAGAAATAATTGTTTCGTTAAAAGTCTTGCAGTGTGAATATTTTGTTGTCAACTGTGCCGTAGTCGACAAACTACTACTATATGTATGGAGTGCGTTGTCAATTGTTTAATTTGATCACAAGGAATGAGGTTTGATTTTCAGTCATAAGAAGGTTTAAGGGTAAATGTGTAGAGTTCTCTTAAAGACAAATCTCTTCTCTTAAAAGGGTTAAATATACTGTCCTACCAAATAATATATACTTCTTCAAGTAGAAGCAAAGTATGCTTTAAACTGGTCAACCAAAAACAGCAATGAAGGATGTAAAATGCAGAATTAGCAGTTACGGCTGAGTACAGTAAATAACACTGACCCAACAGTCTCAATAGCTACAACAACCTTTTTCAGGCTGATGATTCTCCACAATACAGGCTAGGCTTAGTAGTAGTTGCATTATCACTTGAATAGCCCATTGGTGATTGACAGAATTTGAATCCAGGACCTCGGGGAGTGAACACCCGCGTTCTACCTCTAGACCAGCTCGCTCCCATTCGGAATACATCAGAGATGTAATTTATCCTCAGATCGAAGAAAATGACAGAAAGTATCACTGGGTAAAAGTTCTTAAGTGAAATGTAATGAAGGATATGCTAATGTAAAATTAATATTTTTTTTAAATTCTAGTTTTGAATTATGTCCTTAAAATTCCTTTGTCCTCATAAACGTTGTGTTTTACTCTCAGTCCCTGTGTTTAATCCTCAGGAGCCTCAAAACAAGGGGTTTTACAAGAAAACATCTTTGACGCTAATAAGAGTATATGTTTGTAATAAAACGTGCTTGGAACAAATAAAATAAAGGTGAATTATATTCAACAGATACTTCCAACAATTTCAAAGCACTTTATATTGGTTACCGTCATAAAGCAAGTGCAAGACATTAAATGCAAAACTTGTATAATACAGAATGGAGTTATCGTAGTGGACCTTAATTGGCTCTGTCTGTTGTTTATAATGTTTAGAAAACAGAAAAATAAAGAATGTTCCCTTATTTGTTTGCCGTGGTTTGCTAAAACACTAACTCCGTTGGATGGAACAAGTAAACAGGAAATAAATCTGTGCCACATTACAATCTTTAGTCAATGTATGTTTTGGAACCCATAGACCTACGTGGTCAACGTGGGTTAGAATCCTGACATCAGAATCACAAAAATATTCTTTATCATCATTCTACTTCAACTGTTTTAAACAAACATCTAAATACACACTGGTAGGGTTCTGCGCATATAAATGAAAATAATAAATAATATATAAACAATATTTACCATGAAAACAATTAACTTGGGTTAAAACGTTATCCTGGTTTCCATTGGTAGCATTTTTGTTAAAATACTCTACATTAAACAAATACTCTACCGAAACCTTGTTTCTTATGGCAAACTTGGAGGTTTTCTGTTTCAGCGAAAGTCCAGCATACAGTTGGAGCCATTCTGAGCCAATTTAGCAACTCGATGACAACAGCGACGACCGCCAGCTGTCCAATCCCAGAATTAGACCCACCAGTCGCCAGTCATCGCCCTAAGTGACAATAATGTGTTTGCTCTACCAGACCTTGGTCTGTTATAATGTCATAGTATTTAATTGATCAACTATCGGATCAGCTGTTAATTCAACTTTTTTTAAACAATTAGAAATGTTAATATTCTATCTAAACTTAACCTTTTATTCCAGACAGTCCTAGAGCCAGACTGGTTGGTATAAACTGACAATACTTTAGATTAAGTACTATATACATTGTAAAATATTAGCGGCAAAGATTTATAGTAGTATTTCATTGTTTTCAGGATTATCTGGGCCGCAATATGTTTGTGTTCCGAGCGCCTCCACTTTACATATTTTTGTACGTTTTTAAATTCACTCGCTGAATTTATTGTTGTTCTTCGGGTTTGCGGGATTTTACGGCAATAAATAAACACTCGAGATTATTAAACAACAGGGACAGAGTTGTGGTATAAGCTGAGTAAATGTTTATACTGGCTTGGACGTTTACGCTTGATTTCTAATAAAGTTAGTAATGGTACGAAAAAAGCTCATATGAGACTAAAAAAACTGTCCTTACTAATTAAAAGTATTTCACTGATTTTACCTTAATTTGAAAGTTTCCGATGATATATAATTGTTTGAAGGAGATGTTTGAAACTTTTAAAAACAACAAAACTTTTAATCACGAAACTTTTAATCATTTTTGCTATTTGAAGGGATATCTAAAACATCTTAAAAGTTATACTGTAATAGGGAGAACAGTTTCCGACAATGTCCGTCATATACTTTAGCTCTTTTTGTTTTGTTTTGTCACTATTCTGAAAGTACAAAAGATTTTGTCGTCAGTGATTTAAAGTTGTCTTCCTATGTTTATAAAAGTAATGCTCGACTTGGTCCTTTGAACGCAGTTTTTACCGATGTTTTAAGTATGTTGCAAGTTGTTTTGAGTAAAATGTGTTAAAAACTCAGTTTACTGATTCCCATGACTTTTAAAAATTCGAGAACTTGGTATTATTGTGCACCATTGATACATACATAATACTGATGCTATAATGCATTTGAAACAATTAATTGTTCTACTGCACGATACAACATGATAAAAATCATGTTAAAAAATGTTTTGGAACATGAATGTATTATTCGTATGTATATATTTATTATTATCAACTCTATTCTACAGTTAATTAGTATATTTAGTATAATTAGTATAACATTGACAATAATAACAGATGCAATAATAACCTTTACACAAGAAATTGTTTTAAATCCCTGAAGACGAAGTGACTTACATATCAAACCTCGTAGACGTAAATAAAAATTGTAAAAGGTTGTATTGTAAGAAAATGTTATTATTTGTACTCATTATCTTACTGTTAAAGAGATATAAAAAAAACAGGGACAACTGTACGATCTTTTAAACCCTTTTACCTGGCCTAACAATTTATGAATAGTGACTACTGACCACAACCTGATTTCATATTTAGTGTTCTAGAACCTCCACTAGTCAGTAAGCCTTTTGGGGGTTCATAGGCTACATTCAGGTCTTATTTTACCATACAAAATTCTGATGTGGGTCTAAACCACCAATATTAACAAATGATGTGGGAAGGCAAACAATTGTAGGTTCAAAAGATAAATTTACCTCATATAATAAAATAGTTACAAAAAGCTAAAATGGTAGTAAAGGAAATCTTTTATCTTTTGTCATCAATCCATGGATTTCAATTCTATAATAATTACATTTACAAACATATCATTTTCAATAAAGATTTAACTCTAAACTTAACTAACTTATCAAATTTGCGATGGCCCTTTCCCAAACACCAATAGTTGAATATAAATGTTATGACTAGTTAATAAATTAAATTTTATAATTTTTATTTTTGTTTATGTTACTGCGTCTCTATTAAGCAAAACAGTTACTATCCTACAATTCTCAGTGGCTATTCTAGTTCTCGCTATAAAAGTTTGCCATTGGCTATTAGAGTGGAACGCCAAGATTGAACAACTGGAGATGAGCCTCGTGACAGAGATTTGCTTCTTGTCACCAGTCGGATTGTGTTTTGGACGGTTTCCCAACGTGTGCCCCACGCCAACAACAGACACATGCTGCATGACTGTGGACAAGATGGTAAACTAACGACAGACACATGCTGCATGACTGTGGACAATATGGTAAACTAACGACAGACACATGCTGCATGACTGCGGACAAGATGGTAAACTAACGACAGACACATGCTGCATGACTGTGGACAAGATGGTAAACTAACGACAGACACATGCTGCATGACTGTGGACAAGATGGTAAACTAACGACAGACACATGCTGCATGACTGTGGACAAGATGGTAAACTAACGACAGACACATGCTGCATGACTGAGGACAGGATGGTACACCTAAACACACTAATACTTAATGACAGGAAAGGAAGGTATTGGCATTTTCCCTACTATATCTGTCCCATCTGCGTAATCGAAAACAAATACTTAAAGACATTTAAATAATTCATGGCACGGTCTCATTGCATGACCCACTCGTTCCGACCGCAGGCTTCACTTTCCTAACATGAGGATTGAGGTTGGAAAAAAATTAATTTTCTTATTTCGGCCCGCAGTTGTATGATGGCCTCCCGCAGGATATAAAGAGCTCCAAATCATATGGTTCATTCAGGGCCGCAATGCAGAAAAACAACTGTAAAATGTAAATTGTAAATGTTTTTTTCTTTGTAGTTATTTGTATATTATATTTATGTATATATTAGGCTAGTTTAATTTTAGTTTGACTTGAGTAGGTATGAAAAACATGTATATAAAACTCGCTTGGAAATAAAGGCCTTTTTATTTATTTATTTATTTGCACTGTATCGAATACCTACTTTTGTTTATTTATAATCGGCCAAATCATATACTCCGAGGAAATTAAGCTAAGTAACAAAATCATAAACCATAAATTTATATTTAAACTTTTCCAGATACCCCATATTTAAATTTCTTACCTAACATCAAAAATGACTCGTCAGATTGAAGGGTATACTAAACTTGTTTTAAGTAATTTAAATAGGATTCGTATTTAATATGTTTGTATAAACTATAGAAAGATACAAACTCTCTAACATGTTACTGTTATTTCTTATAATAGGCCTACACGAGTATGTTATTAATCATATATACAAATAGTAACGATACTAAACGTATGGTGGATCAATATTCCTCACATTATGCATATGTGGTTGATACAAAGGTAATAAGGGAAAAAACAAAACACTCTCACATAAGACAACTTTATGTAGTTTCCGACTCCGCATAGCTTACTTAGTTTGGAGCGAACAGATATCATAAAGCGATAATATACACTTCGTCTTTGTGTTAACTCCGAGTCAATAGAACAGCTTTCGAACTACGATAACGCGAACTTCCTCAGGTCAAAGATGAATTTTCCAACAGGAGAAAACCATATGTTTCTGAATATCATTGGACTTACTGTTTCAAATGAATATTGTTTAAAGTCATCCTACTTACGATGTGTTAACAAAATACAAGCACTAATCTAATACGAACGAACGTTTGAATTTATATACATGTTTCACCAATATCGTTCAAAATACAGCGTGTCCGGGAACTTTCTACCAATGTTTAGGGCATTTTTGCTGGGTAAGTAACATATCTATATCATATTTAAATTGTCCGGAAGTCCTTAGTTACTCACATAGCCACCATTTTGTTTTTTTTTTTCACTTATTATTTTTTTATGAAAAGTGGTTGAGCATACGGAATTGAGACTTTGCACGAACATTTATGACAATTAGACAAAGCTACAAACAAATTATGAACATTTTTCAAATTCATAAAACAAAATGGCAGCCATTTATAATTTTTTTCTTATCTTTTTTCATGTCATAATTTGTTCGTAGCTTTGTCTAAATGTCATAAATGTTCGTGCAACGTTTCAATTCCGTATGCCTAACCACTTTTCATAAAAGAATTAATAAGTGAAAAAAACAAAATAGCGGCTGTGTGAGTAACTATGGACTTCCGAACAATTTAAATATGATATTTAGATAATATATGATGCTTCTTACCCAGGAACAATGCTCTAAAATATCGGTAGAGAGTTCCGGGACAACCTGTATAAATATTTTTTTTACAAAAAAATTATTTGATATTGTCCTTTTTTGAATAAACTGCACTCCTACCACTCGTATTGAGCATTTTCTAAAATAATTCAAAAGAAACTGCAGTGAACATAACGTAATAATAAGCCCGATATAACAAAGAATGTCGTCAACTCGTTCAGTAAAAGCTCTCAATAAAATCAATCATCGACAGACACGTACACTGTACTGTGTACAGTAACGGGTTTGCCGCCTGTTAACATGGTTGATGGGGGGGGGGGCGGAGGGTGGTAATGTTGAAGGGCCGTACTTGTGGAGTAACTAGTTCATGTAAACACTAATGACAGAATAGAGTCCGTGGCAAATTGTTAATCAGGTACATGCAATGTCATGTCCGCTGTCCGCTTGGACAATCCCGTTACTATGTTACTAGTGATCACAAACCCACTAGATGTGTCCGACGGCTTTCTTTTCCAACTTGATACTATGTTATGTTACTACTCCCGATCTCAAACTGACTGGACTTTTGGTTACCCTACCGGTAGTGTAATTTTTACAAAAATTTCGTAGAGATTAAGAAACCATGTTTGGCAAATTGAGTCATAAGTATATGAATTACACATCAACAACGGTTTAATACTTTGCTGAAGACACGTTACTACAACACCCCCATAAGAGCCAATACGTATTCTGCATATTTATAGTTACTTAGTTCAGGGGTTTTTATACTATCAAATTTACCCATGAATGTAGGCCAAGTATAAACATCAAGCTTTATGATTACTTAAGTTTTACTGCGGAGTACACAAATATAATCTTGATTATTTTTTAAAGGCTACAAATAAATAAAGAGATTTGCTCAAGTTTAGGCTAAAGATTTACCCATACTCAAGTATAAATACTATTGATTTGTTCTTCATACTGAACAAATTGTCGGTATCATGGGGAACAACATTTGACATTAGTACTTTCATGATCTCTTCAACCAATACAGTAAGTGCAGGATAAAAATGTAACCCTGTTAGTAAACATTTTATCCTGTTGGTTGTTAATGTTAAGCTTACGAAAAACTGTGAAAGAATGTAATTAAAATTTGTTGGTCCAAAACGTAAATTTTGAATGATAAATGAAACTAATTTGTTGGGTTCTATTTCCAACCCATTTTCCTGTTAGGTACCGGGACAAACTGGTTACTGAGCACATACAAGTTCAAAAAGTTGTTATTACTCATTACATAGTAATTTAATCAAAATTTGAGGGATCCAATTTTTTTTCAAATTAGGTATACATTGTTAGATGTTGGTTAAAACAGACCCAAACCCCTTATTTGTCGCATGTGTCCACGAACCTTCTACTATACGCATACAGCTATTCCAATTTAATCGTTAATGAAACTAATATAATGCACGAGTAACCAAACGTTGACTCCGCGAGGATTCGTAGTTAATTACACATTTCGAATCGCCCAAAACAAACAAAGCCTAAGTAAATGTTGTAATACCTCACATTTTCAATATGTTGACCGACAATATAACCAACCCATAAATCAGTGGTGGGGTTGGGTCGTCAGGAAACCCTCAGATGAACGGAAGTGCCCCCAGTAACCCGACCTCGGCACGACCGGACCACCGGGGTTAGTCCACGGGGGTCCTTCAGGTCACACATATCGGCTTACAGATTTACTTTCCGAAACAGTTGTTATTCTTTGAAATCATCTGGAAAATTAAGTTTTTAGTGTGCTTGACTATTTCGTGACTAGACATGCTTTCATTTCAAAGTTCATTTAAGAATAAGTTGAGGTTGTTTGTTTTGAGTTTGCCGAAGCAGGTGAAACCTTCAAGCATGGTAAAAGTACAAACACATCTCACATTATAAACCCGATTTTCTGACCATTACTGTACCTGTTACCAAATACTTTCATACACTGGTGTACACACTAATAGTAATTACTATTTTTTTTTTTTAGTTAATTAGTTAAATAAATTGAATTTTTGTTAACTTGTACTTAATGTGTTAAATATGTATTTTTATATTAGATTAAGAAATGTCATTGTATTTTTATTTATTTATATTTAAGTTTGTCAGGTTAAGTGTAAGAGAGGGCCATGTGGCCCTAACTTTGCCTGGTAAAATAAAGAATTTTTCATTTCATTTTCATTTCATTTACACACTATGGAATAGCTCCAGCCAAAATAGAACAGTTGCATGTGGGCCACTCGAGGAGTGCACTAATCAACATTTTATTGTCATCTTTATGTTTGTTGTTTTAAAATGATGGATGCATATTGTATAGTTTGCGATAAGTAGTCCTTTCAGCACGGCGTTGTTAAAAAGTTGGCGAACCCGACAGAAATCCGTAACTGACACGAGCACACACTGATTCACTGATTCAACAACGTTGATTTTAAACCCAAAACTGCCTACATGTTTGTCATGGGATTATATGTCAATTCTATCAATGTCCAAACCTATTACTTAAATTCAAACATTTGTAAATGTAATCATTAATTTGTATTAGCGATTGTATTTGTAAAAGCTGTATTTATGATATTATTTTAACCAACGCAAAAATCCATTGACTTTTGCTAAATTCAGTAATGAAAAACGTGAATATCCTTTTGATATATGTATGTTTAATTCACTAAACTGATGAATGGTTATGAACAAATTAATAACCATTTATAATACATGAACAGAAATTGAAACATCAGTTATGTCAGTTAGTTTCAAGGTCACATAGTGTATACCGAATAATTACTTATTGTTTATTTCTTAACACCACCATTCCACCAGGTAAATCGAAATCGTCAACTTATTTGAGTAGGAAAATGAAAATGCGGAATACTTTAGTTATAAAACTATATTACGCTTGGCTCTAAGCTCCCAGATATAGCATGTAATCATAAAATGCACAATAAGGCAGGGATGATATCTCAGCGCTAGCCTAAGTCCCAGGTCGCCGCAATACATGGCAGAATATAATATCCTATCTCATATAACTTGTGTCCTGCAACG